TAAGAAGACGTCACCAGCGAGCATACCTGCCATTACCTGCCACAATTGCCTGCTTTGCTTCCGTGCTGAGTAGGCTGTGACAACGCCACAAAGGTGGATGATATGGCCCACCTTCCATATCCCTGCTAAGTCTGGGAATATTAATATAGACCTCTTCTGGATATAGCCTCTAACTCTGACCTTCTATTTGACGAAGCTACGGACACTCCGCCTGCCGCAACGCCCTGCTTTGCTTCCGTGCTGTGACAACGCCACAATGGTGGATGCTAAGGCCCACCTCCTATATCCCCAGTATATGTAGCGCTTCGGCTTTGCCTGCTTTGCGCCCGTGCTGTGACAACGCCAGAAAGGTGGATGATAAGGCCCACCTACGCTGCCCCTGACGACGTTTGTCATCGCTTTTTCCCTTTTGACTTGCCCATAGAACACCGCCCCCCTCTGGCAACCTGGCCCTGCTGGCAGGTGGTTTCGGGCGGTCCTGGTGCGCCAATGTGAGACGGTGTCGGATACACCCCTCGCAGCGGCAATCCGCGGCCGCTGTTCCACTGCTCTCTGGCCATCCGGACGAAAAAGTCGAAAAAAAAGGCCGGCAGAAGAAGAAGAAGAATAAGAAGAAGAATAAGAAGACGTCACTAGCGGGCATACCTGCCATTACCTGCCACAATTGCCTGCTTTGCTTCCGTGCTGAGTAGGCTGTGACAACGCCAGAAAGGTGGATGATAAGGCCCACCTACGCTGCCCCTGATGACGTTTGTCATCGCTTTTTCCCCTTTGCCTTGCCCATAGACCGACCGCCTTTGGCAACCTGGCCCTGCTGGCAGGTGGTTTCGGGCGGTCCTGGTGCGCCAATGTGAGACGGTGTCGGATACACCCCTCACAGCGGCAATCCTCGGCCGCTGTTCCACTGCTCTCTGGCCATGCATGCACCAAACTATTGCCGTGAACTGACTTGTCATAACTGCTTGCCTTGCTTCCGTGCTGTGCCAACGCCACAAAGGTGGATGATAAGGCCCCCCTACAATATCCCTCATCAATATCCTGATCTTAATATAAACCGCAGAAGACGCAGAAAAACAAGACGAAAAACAAGATGAAGAATAATAATAAGAAGAACCCCTGCGCCCCTTTACTGGGTCTGTTATACTGAGATTCGCGCGCAGCTTCCTACTTCTTATTTGCTCCTGCATCATTCCGCAACATATATTTGCACAGCGACCTGCTGTCTGTTGCACCGGCTCAGAGATTCAGTTGCGTATTCTCCTCCCTTGCTTCACCAGGCTGTCTCCAACACGCTGGACCGCCATGCCGCAAAAACGCGCTCGTGCTTTGGCCGATGCAGCGCGCGGGTGCGAAGACATTCGCATTGCGCTGCAGCGCGGCACCGTGGTATCAAAGTCCACCCCAGGGGCACTGAACCTCACCGCGTCCCAAGAGGCAGCTATCGCTGAGTGGCCGCTCGCTTTGGTGCAGCCTGCTGTCCGGGCCTGGAAAGACACTACAGCAGATTCTGCGCCGCTTCTGCTCCAAGCCAATATCAATTTGATCCCTGAAGCTGTGCTCCTGGCATTTCACATGGCCCCCACAGACATTGCCTCTCCCGAAGAAGTGGACGCTCTAAAGGAGATTGCGCACGTCGCTGCTTCATGGTGGAAGCTCCAGCGCGAATCCATGCAAAGGCTTGGCGTCCTGGCCACCGATGTTGACTGATTGGCGTCATCTGTCACTCTCCGTGGAGCTGCGCCACCAGATGCATTTTCTGGTGGTTGTTTTTACTTCTGTCGAGGGTATCGGCGAGGTACTCTTTGCAGGTACGCTCTCAGAACCGCAGCAGCAAAAAAGGGCTCATTTTGTTTCTGCGGCATTTGGCCACGAAAGCGTCCCCGCGCCTAACATGTGTTCTGCACACCATGCCCACCATGTGCACTTGGCCACATCTCGCGCTGGCCTTTCGTCTTGGCATGCCACACATATGCAATGCATGCGCTGCTGCAGCCGTTTCTGCTCGGGTGCTCACTTTCGTCCCCACGCTTGTTTTGCTCATGGCGCTGCCATTGTCCAATTTGCCAACGGATGTCCTATGTATGCTTCTGACCTTCCTGGGTGTACGCTCTGCGCCCTTGCTCATTGCCTGCCATTCAGCCGTCTGTTCAGCTGCTGCGCTGCGTGAATTACGAGCTGTGACGCGCTTGGTGCAGAACACCTTGCGCATACCTCTTCACATTTCTTCGCTGCCTTTGCAAGACATTGCCTCCGCGGCTGCTTCCTATGTCCGACTTTGCCGTTTCCTGTCATCGACTGTCCAGCATTGCGTGCGCCAAGTGGAAGACATGCAGCTGGCGTATCCAACGTTTGCCGACAGGGCGCCCTGCGTTGCGCACATCAGTGCCCCCAGGGACACTGCTTCACCCATGCAGATGCTTTTACGCTTTTTGAACGTACCGGACGGGGGCCCGGTGTATGGCATCTTCTCTTGCAATCCACTTGCTGCGTGGTACGGCTTGAATGGACGCGTGCACGCCCACCGGCGCACCGTGCGGGAATTCGCACGCTTGCTCCGCATGGGCAGCGGGTCCTTCGCTGTCACTCCGTGCAGCGTGTTGGAAGACCGGCGCGCCACTTTTCGGCTGAGCTTCAGTGTCCTTGGGGTGTGTGGCGCGCTCGTCGCAGTGGAACCGTTTGCCGATGAGGTCTCGCTCGTGGCACCTTGACGTCGCACCCCTCCGCTGCGCTGCGGCTGCCCCTCGTCCCACACTTGCATGCTCCTGACAGAGCGCGTCTTGATTCTGAGGAATCGATCGGGCATTGCGACGCGATTTTCACGCAAGTTCTGGACCGCCACCACACAGGAAAAATCCTCGACGTGACCGCATGCTGTCAACGACTCTGCCACTGCAATCATCTGCTTGCATGTGTTTGTATGCAACCTACATGTGGGAATCTTATGGAATATTTTGCTTGTTTGTGTTTCTCTGATAGCGCGTTTTCGCTGGACAGGAATCAGACACGCAGTGCTATACATTTCATGCGTTCTTTCCTTGCCATGTCATGCTGCGCAGTTGTGAACTGACCTGTCACTGTGTCTGCACACCTGAACATCCCCTGCTTTGGAGTTTGGCTCAAATCCCTTTTCTTTCGTCTCGATCCTGCACCCCAATGGCGATGTCTTTGCTTGTGCTCCTGACAGCCGGGGACCTGCTCCCCACACTGGCTCAGGTCGTGCCATTGCCCAGCTTCTTGCTGTTGCTCGGCATTGCCCGGCTGTGGTCACTTCCTGAGCAGATCGCTCTGCTGCGCCGGCACAATTCTCTCTACAATTTCGTCATGGATTGCGTATATCCGGCGCTGCTTCAAGGCATCTACTGCCCAGGCATTGGGCGCGCCCCAAGCGGCATCTTTTGCGCCGACAAGGCCGCCGCGACATTGTCTGCCGCTGTGAGACGGCTGCTTCGTGTTGACGCTGCTGCCTCGCAGCCCGTGGCAGCATTGCTAGCAGATGCCGCTGGGGGGCCAATGGCCGCTTGGCATTTGTGCAATCCGGATACTCCGGCGTGGATTTCTCTCTCCGGCCTTCTAACCGACCGGCGCCTCCATCACCAGCGACATTTTGAGTTCTACCATTTGCCCGGTGGCTCGCGCTGCTTTGTTGTGCATCTTTTGCTGGATAGCTTCCGGTTCGCTCTGCTCTTCGAATCAGCACCCCCTGGTGTTGTGGAAATTGATTGAGATTGATGCGAAGCTGCTTCGACGCTCCAAAACTGTGAGATTCTGAGGAATATCGCCGTGCCCTTCCCTGATCGTGCGGATTTCGCTGACATGTTAAAAGGTTCCCTGTGCTACGCTGTCCGGTTGTTCTCGCTGTTTGCGTGCAAACACTTCGATGTTTGGTTGCGCTTTGTGACTCTTTCCCAGCGACTTGTTGCACGATTCTGCGTTTCCTGCAGCCATTTCTGCTCCACTGCCACAGCCGCGTCGCTGCTGCGCCCTTCTACCTTCTTTTCGTACTTTGCTATGGCTTCTGCTGCGCTGGCGTCCCTGCCCGTGGACGTCCTGCTGCGGTTGCACATCTTCCTGGGGTGGCAACTGGCTCCGGTCTTCGCGCGGGTGGCCCAGTGTGCTGCGCCCTCGGCAATCCTTGCACACGCGGAACAGCAGCTGTGGCTTCTCTCACAGGCGCTCATGGAACCAATCCCGGTTCCTACCATGCCGACGCTGCTGCGTCAGTATGGTGCTGTGTGCAAGGAAGCCGCCGCAGCCGTCCTTGCACGGCTTGCCGGCCTCACCGCGGCCGATCTCGTCTGGCCCGGCCTCCACGAGGCTGCGCCCGCGTCCCTGTGGCGCCGCACATGGCACGACAGCAGCGCCACTGTCGAAGCCATCCGGCGCCAGGTTCTGGCTCGGGAAGCCTTCGACCTATCGAACTATCTTGCCTTTGACCTGGGCATCTCGCCGCAGCCACTGGTTGCATGGCAGGAATTGAACAGGGAAGAGCCCGAGGCCGACGAATTGGTGGCGGGCTTTCTGGACCTCATCGACGCTGGTGAGGCAACGTACCTTTTTTACCCACCAGACCTGGAAAGCGGCCGCCCACCCTGCGTCCTCCTGAATTTCACCGTTTGGGGGGTGGGCGGCACGCTGGCTATCGAAGAGCCAGAAGTGGACCCAGCTGGATTCTACATCTAGGTGATGAGCCGTGCTGGAGCTGCACTATGCCTGTCGGATGTGAGCTTTTCTAAGCATATCGTACGTCGTGCATGTCACTCCTTCGGATTCGCACTGACATGCAAAAGGTCGAATGTGCTGCGCCCGTCCGCACCTGCGAGTCTTGCTTCCAACATCGCTTTCCAAGCCGTGCCTTCCAACCCTGCATGGGGTGTGCCTGTCATGCATCGAATGTTTTCTACTTCTGTGGTCCTGTTGCCTGCATGTTTCTTCTGGCTCAAGCTGTGTCATTGTTTCATGTTCTATAGATCTGTACGGAAGCGCGCGCCACGTGGCTGAACATGGACCCTGCCAGCTCTGCTGAGGTCATGGTGCACCTGACGCACTGCCCCTTCTGCGTGCCTGCTGCGCCTCTGCGCGCCGACACCACGTCCTCCCAGGTCTGGGGCTTATCCTACTCCAGTGGCTTTCAAAAACTTTCGGTCCGACGCAAGCGGTGCGATTCCTGCCGCGCCCTCTTCCTTGGCTGCTGGGCCTACTCCCCTGGTGGTCACTCACGCACGCGAATCGCGTGTCATCCGAGGGAGTCGGCTTGGTTCTTCTTCCGAGAACGGATTCATGCAGGCAGCTTCGTTGCAATGCATGTCGACTACCTGCGGTTCATGACCACTGCCTTCATCTTCTTGCGCGCGTCCTTTTCGGGGCTCGTCAAAACTGTCCACGCCATGTTTCCTTTGCACCGACTCAACCCGAACGATTGCCAGCGCTGTCTGGAGCATGGCTGGTTCTTACACTCTGCACTGAGCAACACCTGGAGTGAAGCAGAGTTGTTAGGCGAGGACTTTGACTTGCGCCTCGATTCTCTGGATGCAACTCTTTTAGGCTACGAACCACGCCTTCGTAGCCTTCTGCATCAAACAGGTTCGACGCATCATTGTGGCGCATGCGCGAACCCAGTGCTCACGGGAGACGGTGGCATGAAACTGACCACCTCTCTCTGCAACGAGCGCACCAGCGCGTCTCTCAGAAGTGAGGAGCTGGGCCTCTCCATTCCCATCGGCTGCACGTGCCGCCCGATCCGGGGATCTTTGTTCTGCAGAGCACACCAAGCTGACGCTGCCGAAATGCTTCCTCCCGAAATACGCGATCACAGGCGCGTGACAGGGCAGGGGCGCCTATCCTTTCGGTACACTGGGAGTGACGACTTCCTGCCCGTACAGTCCATGTCTGCTATTCGTCTTCGACAGTACGATTCTCGCCTTGCTTTGCTGGACTACGCTGCTGCAGACCCTACGCGCTTTGCGCCTGGTGAGTGCAACCCGGTGGGAGAGGCCGGCACTTAGCTGGCCTTGCCTTGCTCCGGGGTAATTTAGGATTATAAAAGTATATATAGATGTGAAAGAAACAATAAAAACCATTCTCAATTGATTTCACTGCCTCCCATGGGTTGCCTTTTTCGGGCAGGTTGTGTCTGTGTTTGTGCATATACCCCCGTTCGTCGCGCCGTGCCAGGATGCATTGCGTATGGATGATTCAGATTATGAAGCCGTGAAGGCATGCAACTGCCTCAAGGACGAACGAAAGAGATTGGCAGTTCGTCGGTATGCAGGTGTGTTTGTGGTGGTGCTGCCCTGTGGGCATATCGTTACCGTGCACCATCTGGTTGGGGCGGAGAGTTTGCCGCAAGTCGCCTATTGCTTTGCTCAGGCGCTGAACATCACCGCCGGCAAACGTTTCATTTGCTATGACAATGCCTGCGCGCTGGCGCGCTTCTGTCGGAACCCCGTGCGGGCCGCTCAGATGCAAATCTTTCGCGACCGTGTCTTTGTTCTTCCGGAGTCCCATCTCCGAGGGCACACGGCGTGCCTTGACCCGTCCCATCAATTTTTCTTGCCGGAAGTGCGCAAGTCCGCGCATCCGGAACTGGCCGGGGTCAACACCGAAGCACAGGAACACGTCTTTGCCTGGGCTCGCTGGCTGGTTCACGTTGCCAATCCAATGAAACCAGTTCGTCATCGTGTGTTTTTCCTTCTCTGTTTGGCGCGCAACGAGCATCGGGGTCTCGGAGCACGCCCCAGAGCTAGCCGCCCCAACCGGAACTGGAATGTATGGCGTGGCGCTTTCCCTAGCCGACCTGCGGACGGTGATGATCCAGAACAGCCTGCGCCTGAGCATGCTGCTGTGCCTGCCGCAGCGGTCGCCGCAGCGCTGCTCGACGCGCGGCCTGTTGCCAATGATGACGTGCAGCCGTCACTTCTCTTGAATCTCCGCGACAACAAGCTTCATCGATTGGCAGCGCCGTTGCGTATCTCCTGCGGTGCAACTCTGCCCAAGCGCTGGCGCTACCTTTCTTCGAGAGATGAGGTCGCCCGCTCCAAGCTTTGCCTGCGCAACGGCTGCTTCTCTCCTGGCGCAGATTTTTAATTGCGCCTTTGTTCTCAACTAGGCGTTTTCAAGCGTTCGTGGATTCACAGCTGCTCGGGGGAAAAAAATGGCCCGTTGCAGCCACTGTGTGTGCCTGTCGCTAGGTTATACCCTGTTTTATAGCATGTGTCCTTCCAGTGCGGCATTCCAGCGGCACATTGTCACGCATTTAGCAAATTCTGGCGGATGATGGGGCAATTTCGGCCGACTTCCGCTCTCACATCATGCCTCATGCATTCACTCTAGCCTGTTCGGTTCACATCCTTCTTGATATTGCGTGCTCCTTTTCGCTGACCCCCACGAGCCATGTGCATTTTCGCGCACGCGGTGTGGTCTACGCTTGCGGCCTTCGTCTTTTGCAAGGTCTTTTCCAACCTACAGGCTGGCTATGCGCGCTTCTCTCGAAGGGCTTCAACCACGCGTGCTCATTTCCTCCTGGTTCGTGCTCGTTGCTTGGCTTGCACTCAGAAAGTTTTGTTTTCTATAGGCTTGAGCACCCCCGCAGTCTTACACAACCACCTTGTTTTGCTTGGCTTCATCTCTCCTGCAGGACCTGCTGAAGCTCTGCGGCGCGCGCGCTGTCGTGCGACTGCCTCCTTCCTCTTGCACCTGTGCCTTTACGCGCCGGCGCTCCTTGCCTTGGCCGTTGCATTGAGTGCCTTCGCTGTGCTGTATATGGCGTGCTGCTTGCTGCGCTATACGCTGGGGCGGCTACTCTACGGTGCTGACCAGGCGCAACAATGCTGCGCGTCTGCCGCTCCGCCCCCGCTGACTAACGAAGGATTCCTTTGCACTGATGAAGACGCGGATTATTTCGTGGAGGTCTTGCCTTTTCGTCTGCTGCCCCTGCCCCTTGGCTCCAACACGGGACAGCTATCATTGGTGTTCCTGTTGGGTTCCTTCTTTCTGATCCCTCCCATCCCCGTCTCTTCTTTTCCTTTGTCATGTCATGTCACCTCTTCGTTGCTCCTTGCTGAGGCTCACCGATCCAGCATTCGAAGGTCATTTACTGCGAGCTCTCCATGGACTTTCTTCTGTTCCTGCATTTTCTTTCGTGCTGCTGCTGTCTCATTCTGCACGGTCCAATTGGAACTTGCTTTGCAGCCTGGAAGCAACTTTGGTCGGGGACGCCTCGAGTTTGTGCGCTGCCATTGTGCCCGTGCTTCGGCCAATCCTGCCTGAACAGCTGCGAATCTTGAGCCTGACCACGGGCCATGCCTATATACCATTCGCCCTCGAAGCACCTGCCCCGGATCAACCCTTGCCCGCCATATGCCAGGATGCGTGTGGGGCTTGGAGCTGTGGTTTCCTCACCCCCTACATCATGGAACCTGCCCCTTCGGAGCCAATGGCACTTTGCGAGGCTACTTTGGATGCTGCTGCAGAGGCTGCGACTTCTGAGCCAAGTGCTACCCGCAACAATGTTCCGGCCATCGCTCCGACACCGGCTACTTCTGAGCAACGTGCCTGTGGCAACCTTCTGAACTGTTCTGCAGAACCGGATCTTTCTGACCCAAGTGACACTCACAACCCTCTGGACACAGCTGCAGAAACAGCCACTTCTGAGCAAAGTGCGCTGGACAGCATTGAGGATATTGTCGCGCAGAGCTTCCAACATGATGCGAATTCCTTTCTTGGAGCTCTCGGCTGCTTGGCCCCTTTTTCCTTCGAGGTGATGCTTGCTGCTTTGAATGAGTCGCGATCCATTGATTGCCCTTCACTGACATGGGCCCAGGTGTCGGCTCTAGTTTCCTGTCTCGTTGCGGCCCTCCCTCAGGGCATCATCATCCGCAACCTCGACCCCGCGATCACTTGGTGGGTTGCGGGTGGTGGCTACCATCGACACGTTGCATTCTGGGATGTATCTCCGTACCTCTTCTTGGAGCGAGATCCAGAAGGACGCTACCGCCCATTGATGCACTTGCCACTTTCCATGCATCCCGACATGTCACTTGAGCTCCAACTTTCCACGTGTTGGATTGCAACTTGCGAACCACCCCTTCGGGCAACGGTGCCTGGCAATTGCTTCTTTGCAGCGCTCGGCTATGATCGCAATGTCCTTCTCACGCTTGCGCTGCAAGCTGCGTACGCGCTGCCACTGCGCACGAGGGCCCGCATCGTGCAACGTCTTCTGACCTTGCTGGTGCCTGGTACTTGGGTCAATGCTTTGGATGCTCAGATCTTCGTCAACCTCCTGCCAGCTTGGTTCCCCAATGGCCTGTTCATCTTCAGTGCTGAAGGTCTGCTGCTGCATTTTCGGTCTTCTCAAGCACCAGAGAGCCTGCTCCCCGAGGACCGGTCGCTTCTGTCCCCGTTGTTTTGAACATGTTGATGCACCACGGCCTAACGTTTTCCTTTTTTAACCTTTGCTTGTTTCTCCCTTTGCCGTTTCATGTTCCCTTTCAGGCGTTGTGTGCGCTTGGCTCCGCTCCGCTGCTTTACTATGATTGCAATCATTTCTCCCGCGCCGCCCTGTGGGCGCGTGGTTCCACCCAATGGTTCGGCGAGACGAGGCAGCATGACACATTGAGGTCGCACCGAGTCCTTCGCATCCCTGCGCACTGGGTTTCAGCGTTTGCGGTCCGCATGTCAGGGGGCGTCCGCAAGTTTTCCGAGAAAGAGATCTTGGACGCGTTTGGCTCGGCTGAGGAAGTGCCATTTCCCATGGCTGCTCTCGAGGAATTGCTGCCTGAGGTCTGCGGGCATTGCAAGCTGGTGGCAGACACCTTGAGCGTGCCCCTTTCTTGGGTTCTGCTCACCGAAGTCTGTGCTGCAGCCTTCTTGGCCCCGACCTCCGTGCTCATGCCTACTAAAACCATGCCGCTATATGCGATGCCGTGGGCCTTCATTCTGCATCCTGGTGCGACCCAGACCAGTGGATTGATGTCGACCTATAGTCGCACCTTCCGCCAACTTGAACTGTGGGAAACCGATTTCCAAGTGCGATTGGCAAAGGAGCAACCCCGGCAGAATGAACAGGTGCAGGAGGGGCAAGATGCAGGTGAACCTGTCCAAAAACGCGCGCGCTCCACTGCCCCCGCTGCTATGCACATGGGGTTTACGTCAGGGAGCCTTGATGGCATTGTCGGCCGCATGGCCGAACCACAGAACATAAGCCGTGCAGCGGCATTCTTGGCCGAAGGCCTTATCTTTTTGAGCTGGATTTCTGATCTTTGCTCCTCTCACAAAGGGTTGCTCACACAGCTCACCGATCGACTCCTCTGGGACAAAGTCACGGTCAAGGCTCGTTTTGCGTCACGCTTTGCCATTTCCATGTCTTGACATGTCTTGACATTATTCATTGCATCTGTTCCTGCTGCATCTTCTGGTTGTCATTCTTGTTGTTCCCCCCTGGCCTGTCAGGACCGCACGACCGTCATGGTCGACGCCCCCTTCTTGGGCATTTGTGCTGCAGTGCATATGGAAGAACTGATGTCGGCCATTGGCGTTGAAGACCCCCTGGGGTTAAGGGAGCGGTTGCTGATCATCTACGAGCGTCCTCGCTTTGTCCGCTCGTCGGAACTGCAAGAAGCATGCTCCCGCATCCCTGCCCAATCCCTTCACGCGCATCTTGCAACTCACTTTTGGGCCCTTCATTGTGTGCATCATCCACAGCACCCCCCCAAGTCCCGCTTCGTCGCGGATCTCAATTACCACTGGTTGAAATACAGCTGGCAAGAAGATGCGGCGAAACTGTTTTGGGACAACTTCGATGACAGGGCCGGAGAACAGGAGGCCGCCTACCGCCTCGACCAGCAAGCGGCCAAAAGAGCTGGCAAGTGGAAAACTCGCCATTTCCGCTTGGCTTTGCCTTTTCACAACTTAGCACAGGCTTGCGCGAGGACCAGTATAGAGGACTGGAACACTGAGGTGTCCTACAAGGCTGCCAAGGCGAGCCTCATCTTCAGCACCTGGATGGATGACGTCTTTCAACGCCTCGACTTGCTGCGCGCTGCGCCTTTGCCACCTCCAGGCCCCGCAGCCGCCGCAGCCCCATCACCACGCGAAGACCTTCGAACTCTGCTGGCTTCCGCTTCCCTTGGCGCTGTCCTGAGCAACCAAGTGAATTTGCCCCATCTTCGCATTTTCATGCTGGCTGTCCTAGCGTCCGAGAAAAGGCCACTCTTGCGAAATCACGACGTCTTGCACCTGAAGCCCGTTTTAGCCTTGAATCTGCAGGCTGCTGCAGGGATATACCACAGCAACCGCGCTCTGAAAGCATTGAGCCTGCTCGGGTTTGGTGTGGTCACTTTAAGCACCAACACATCGGGCACAAAGGTCCTGTGGTTCACGAAAATCCCTTCGGAGGACTATGCCAGTCCTGCCCTGCAGCGCAGTCGGTCTGCCTTGGCGATCCCAGAGCCGAATGGCTTTATTTCGTGGAACCGTGCACAAATCTTGCAAAACAAGCAGAAGAACCAGGAAGCCATCGTCTACCCTGATCTGGCTGCTGCAGAGGTGCAAGCCTCGATCGCCGCCGCTGCCACCGCCTGGGAAGAGATCACCACGGCGCCAGTATGACTTTTAAAAAGCTCCGCCGCGGTCAGCCTGCTGTCCCTTTTCCCTTGGCTTGTGCCGTTTGCTCGCTGTTGGATGGCGTCCTTGTACCTTGCAGCCTTCTCTGTCCAGGCATACCTTTCCTTTGCAGCATTTTTGGCTCTGTCGCGCCCGTTATCGTTCTAGCGCGTCGGCTGACCCTCAGCAGGCGCGGCGCTGCTTCGTGCATGTCTGCCTGTCGATCGTCCATCCCTCTTGCCCATCCGACCGACGAACCCCCTATGCCGCTGCACCAACGAAACCGACCCGCCATGCCTCCGTCCCCCCAACCACACACACACAACCGCACCCACAACCACAACCACAAGAAGAAGTACAACTGCAACAACAACACCCGCAACAACAAGAAGAACCCCTTCCGCCCTCACTTGCCTGGCCGCTCCGCCGCCCTGCCTCCGGATCCTTCTCCTTTGCAGAGAACACCTCCCCCCTTCCAAAGAAGATTCCCACCCCCTTCCAAACAAGATCCCTTCCCCACTTCGGCAGAAGACCCCTCCCCCTTCGGAAGAAGACCCCCCTCTTCCTAAGCAGACTCCCCCCCCCTTCGGAAGAAGACTCCCCCCCCCCCCTTCCTAAAAACTCCCCCCCCTTCAGAAGAAGACCCCCCCCCCTTAAATACCCCCCCCCCCTTCTTCTTTTTGAGCGGGGGGGGGCCTAGGCCACAGGGTCGAAAAGACCCCCCCCTGAAGACCCCCCCATCCCTACCCTATCGATGCGGTCTGAACAAATGGTTTGGTGCGCTTTCACAGGATCACACTGTCACATGTGTGCTTTCACATGAAGCCTTTGATTTTATCATATGGCCTTTCGGAGGAGATCAAAAGAGGAGCTGTCACCGAGACTTTTCTAGAGAGCTTTGATGTTGGATTCCTCCAGAGATCTTTTACAAAGACCTTATAGAAGGTCTTCTTTTAGAGCTTTTCTTGAAAAAAATGATGCAACTGTGGTTTTGGTTTTGGTGTTTTCCTCTCTATTGGATTCTCTTGACAAATAGGTACAGCATGGCTAAGAAGAGGGCTGATTCATGACTGACAATTGTCTGGGCGCAATCATGTTTGTAGCTTATGTTTAGCTAGGTTTCGAGATTGACCATCTGCCGTTCTCTGCGCGAGCATGTCGGTCCAGTGTGCTCTGTTGCTGAAGAATTCAGCGACGGCAACCAGCTTGTCATCCTCCTTCGTCACGTTGGCTATCATGTCGGAATACGCTTGGAGCCCGGTGTCCGTGAGCGCGCATCCTTGCCACAGCTCCTGGGTCAGACACCACGTTTTTTCATGACACCTTGCCTTAAAAGACAACCATTGTCTCCAAGGGTCTGTGTAAGGCATGGTGTCTGGATGAGGTAATGTGTAAAGCATGGTGTCTTGATCATAGAGGCATGGTGTCTGGATCATGCAGGCATCTGGATGGAGTTCGTATTTCAACGAAGTATTCGACATGCGGCCAAGGTTCAGCTCTTGGCAACTCATTCATCAGATGCCGCCACTCAGCGCTGATGGTGGGGGGGCGAGGAAACCCGTTCACCAGATGCAACTCTTGGCCAGCTCTTGAAAGAGCTACTGCCAACTTGCCAACATCTAAGAGGCTGCCCACAGGGGTCTCTTCGTGAGCGCACCCTCAGCTGCCAGGAATGAGTGAGCAAGCAATCAGTCAGTTAGCCAGTTAGTCTGTCACCTAACTAGGCAGCGATCCGTTCAATCAGTTAGTTCACTTGTCAGTCGGCCAGTGAGTTCGGCAGTCAGTCTGCGGTCTATGAGTCATTCAATCTGCCAAGCCTTCATCTAAAACTCAACTCAAACATCCGAACCCCTGGCTGGAACGTCTATCACGGCTTTCGTGCTGCGTTGCTAGAGTCCGAATGCATTTTGGGAAGACAGACTTTTTAGGCTGCAGCTAAAGCGAATATCTTTGTGTCCACATTCCGATCCATGCTGTGTAGCAATTATTTATTGTACACGATTGAGAAGTTGGCACAGTTGGCAGTAAGAATTTCCTTGAAGGATTATCTAAGATATGACAAATAAGCCCACCATTTCTTATTTCCAGCAGCCCTTCACATGTTGGGCTCATGTTGTGCTGTTGTTTCTGCTGATTGTTTTTTTGTTTAGGCAACATTCAAACCACAGGCACAACACATTCAAAGCATAAATGAATCCGGTGCAAACCATTTTCAGAATATGAACGTCTAAAAGAATGGTTCCGAAATGGAAACCCTTTCTTGAGTTGCGCCATATATGTGGGTCCCAAACATGGAGCTAAAGCGGGCTAAGGGGCTAAGGATGGCTAAGGGGGGCTGGCATTGGCAAACGCATTTACAACAGAATTTTTCATCACCAGGCCTTTTCTTGAGTTGCGCATTTATGCGGGTCCCAAACATGGAGCTTCAGCAGGCCGAGGGGCTAAGGATGGCTAAAGGGGGGTTTGGCATTGGCAAACGCATTTACAACAGAATTTTTCATCACCAGGCCTTTTCTTGAGTTGCGCATTTATGCGGGTCCCAAACATGGAGCTTCAGCAGGCCGAGGGGCTAAGGATGGCTAAGGGGGGGTTGGCATTGGCAAACGCAGTTACAATCAGAATGTCCTCATCACCAGGCCCTTTCTTGAGTTGCGCCATTTATGTGGGTCCCAAACATGGAGCTTCAGCAGGCTGAGAGGCTAAGGATGGCTAAGGGGGGCTGGCATTGGCAAATGCATTTACAAACAGAATGTGCTCATGACTGAACCCTTCCTTCAGTTGCGCCATCTATGTGGCATCTTTTGGTTAGGTCAGTTGAGGGATGTTGGGGGGCATGATGGACTTGCGCCATGTATGTGGGCATTCCTAGTCTGAGTTTGGCGAATGAGTGGGACTTGCGCCATCTATGTTCCCAAAGCCAGATTGACGTGGAGAAAAAAAGTGCGGGCGATCCAGCGCAGAGGATTCCAAAAAATAGCTCAATCTCAGGCACATGAGTGGCTCAAGTACTTGTTTGCAAACTGGAGTTGAGCCATCTATCCCCTGTATTTACCCTACCACATAGATGGCGCAACTCAAGAATTTGTCCCATCTATATCCACCGGAGAGTAAATCTGCCGTACCAAGTTTCTTGGCAGCAGGAGCACGATGGCTGCTTGGCACTCGTAGCCGCGGCTTTGGCGTACCGTCAATGCATCCACCGGCCTTTGGAGCCTTAGGTTTGCGATGAAGGCACGCAGCATGTTCTTCTGGGCGCTGTACCAGGTCAGGACACTTGCCATCTGCCATCGCTGGATTCGATGGATGAGACACTCCACAGCACCGTAGAGCTCCTCTGAGTGGATTCCACCGATGCCTGCTGTGTCGTGTTGCCGGTAAGACCTCTCGACAGCGCAGATGTGCGCTGGGCGACAGTTACTGCTTCACTAATTCGTAGATGACAGGCAGCGGAGCAGGAACTCGATGATGATGATGATGATGATGATGATGATGCTGGTGGTGGTGGTGGTGGTGGTGGTGGTTTTGCATCCATAAAGAAATGTAGATCTGTGGAATGTTGCAACTGCGACCAAAATATGCGTATCAGGGGCATTACAGGAGAAGGAAGAGCAAGACCAACACTGGCATCATCTCCACAAACAGCAGGAGAAATAGGGAGGGGGCTCCGGCATATGCGCCTAGGTCTACATAGTAGGTGATAACTTTATATACCTGTGTGACTTTCTATATCTATCTACCACTTCACATTAAACTTCATTAAACCGTGTTAGATTCATCGGCTACTGCATCTCGAAGGCTTCTGTTGAAGGCTTGGTGTGAATGAAAATTGAAAATGGTCTTTCTTCTGATGGTGTGGTTTGTATTTGGCTTTTCTTCACCCCTGGCCTTGTCTCGGCGAGCTGCCAGACATGGACCATGGTGTCATGACTCGCTGAGCTCACTAGGTTCCTGTAGCAGCTGATGCTGCTTGCCAGCAGGCGGGCGACGCTGGGTCCCAAGCGATAGGTAGTGTCCAGCGAGAGCCTCGAAGGATGGACCCTTCCAGTTAGTTTGGTTTGCTTCTGCTCTGCAAGCATCAAAACGGATTTCGTGAGTGAACGGGAATTTTTTTAAACTTGTAGTTTGTAGCCCATCAAACAATTCTAAACGGCGATCATGACAGGGAAGACGAAGCTTTGTGGCAGCCCCGAAGTAAGTTGGCGGGTGGCTCTTTTATTTTTGGATGGTTGACAAAAAATATTATTACATAGTTAGGCAGTCAGTCCATGGGTGTATCAGCATAATTTGTGAACTTATTTCTGGTGCAATCACGCCTGGCAGCCCGGCTGAAGGCTAGAAAATCTGCAGCGTCTATCTTGTCCGTCTCTGATGACTCAGGTTTCCAATTCACTGGTCGCATATTTTGGCCAGGATCGTGTATCCCGATCATTGCTTTGCATCGTGAGCTGGCTGCCACGAACTCCTCCACCGACAGACTGTTGCACTCGTCGATGATGAGGAGTCCCATTTCGGTGTCTGCAAACAACCGTTTTGCAGTAGTCCTGTGGAGAAAAAATGCTTCAACATGTATATGGGACCAATGGAGAACATGGCTTGCAGACCAAGCAGACAATGAAGAAATCATTCTGTGAAACACAAGCACCCTGTGAACTTAGGGCTCATATTAGCAAGATTTCCCTGCCTTTCGGCAGCCAGTAGCTTCAACACGAATGCGTGCGTGCACGCCACCACACGCTTGCCAGAGAAGTCACACTGCGTCATGCAGTAGAGTTGGAAGACTGCTCGGTGATGCTGCGCCAGCAGCGCAAGCCAGTGCTGCCACGGCATCCTGACAAGAATGTTCGGGAAGGATTTGGATTTCAGATCATATGACTCAGGAGTTGTATAACATAGAGTTTGATTACAAAAGTTCATATGATCAAAGCTGTGCGGAATTGTGCATTGACCCCTTTAAAACCGTATGGCTTGTGCGTCCACATGTACAGTTTGCAGCTACGTCCAAAGGGGACAAATCAGTTGGAGTCTCTGGCGATGGACTAGTTATACATTTTTTTTCCGGGAATCAATGCCGGCAGACTTGAGGCCTCCTTTCGAGCTGTTCTTCATACTGCTGGATGCGAGCGATCAAGTTTGGGTTCTGCTCCTCCAGAAGTCGCAATGTCTCCAGATACAAGACATCGTTGTGATCCGCGTCTTGCCCTACACGGACACATGATGGGCCCAGTCGCTTCGCTAGCTCATCGCGAAGAATCTTGGTGGGCGCGGCCAAGATATGTCGGCAGCGAGTCTGCTGCATCCTGCAAGATTCGATAGCAAGCCGTGGAACTATGACTCTGGGTGTCTTCTTGATGTTTAATTTTCTTTAACTTCGTGGCAGATGGAGAAAATGGCCGTGGGACGCAAAATGGTAGGACCCTAGTTTTGACTCACAAGGATTTTTTGTGCGACCCACTTGGATATATTTGTTTGGTTATCGGTTTGCTCACAAACTATGGGCACACAATGTTTCATGATTTGATTATTTGATTGGTTGAATTTCTTTCAACTGTGGGTCTTGCAAACCTTTGAGAAGTAAGAACATGAGGGCAACTCAGCGATGGTTGGGTCCGAGGCACAGCAGTTGCAACACCTTAACGGCCGCAGTGCTTTTCCCGCAGCCCGGACCAGCTTCGATAGTGGCAGCCACACATGAGGTGATTGCACCAAGCTGTTCTGGAAAGCATTCTTGTAGCACCGAGCATAGAGCGCCGCCAATCAAATCCTGCAAAATGAAAGGAGTCCAAACCAAATTGGGCAGCAACAGCGTGTTGTGACACCGTCCAAGTTGCAAGACAAGAAAGTCACGTGGTTGATTGTGATCGTTACTTCAAGGCAAATGTTTCTTGAGATTCAAATCGGGGCATGTTGTAATCTGCAAAGCAAATCAAATGAAGTTGATAAGGTCCCACTTGTCCTCCTCTTCGTCCGACTGACCCAGGAAGCTTCGCCAGAAAGGGCTGCCCAAGGTATCCAACCTGGACAAGATTCTCCACGTCCAACGAAACTGCTGAACGCTTGCCAAGACCACCAAGATGAACTCTGTGTCAGCAGCTGGTGTTGGTTTCAGCACAAACTTACTGTTGTCGGTCGAGGAGCTCTCAATTTCGGTCCACTGTCCAATTGCCATGGCGATTGGCCCGTTCAGCTGTCCAAAAGTGTCAAGATCGGATCTTTTGGCGATCCATCCCATGTGCGCCTTGTAAAAGGACGCAGGCAAGTCTTCTCTGGGAGCTAGTGCGAAGGCAGTGCCTTTGCTGTCTGTATGAACTACGAAGGCTGCAGATACAGTTCCTTCTCGTACATGTTGTTTGGTCAAATCTCTGAGGTGCCGCAGCATCGCCAAGTAAAGAAGATGGAACCTGAAGAAGATTGAATTTGTCAGAAAATGAAAACATCTTTCCAAAGCCAATGCGCAGGGACCTAGGGCCTATATCTTGTCTCTTGTGTTCTCCTGAATTTGAATCTAGGTTGAATCCACCCCTCAGAGTGGCACATCATTTTAGCCTTTGCCCGGCTCTCATTCTACGTCAATGTACTTCAACCAGTGCAACGGGTACTATTCGCCAAAATTTCTCCGAACAATGACTAGAACTGAAACTGTCCATTATAAAGGAGGCCCGCGAGAGGGGGACGTGGCCTAGAATCTTCATCCTGACTATAGTTGACTTTGCGCAGTACGTCAGTACATCGATATACTTCCATCTATGCCACGGGTATGAACAATGAAAGGGCCGGATCCAACCCATTGTTAATTTCTTACAATGCGTATCAAAAGAGATGCGAAGACGAGAGGGTGTGACGGATTGTGTGAAAGAGCTGTGTGTGTGTGTAACATCTAAATAGATGTAAAGCTTGTCTATTTTTCTTTTTTTTTCCTCTCCCCTTCTAATAATAATGCAGGGGGCAGAGGGATCTCCAGATGTGGCCTCTGCCAACGAAGCTCCACACTGGATGATCAGGTAAACGTACCTGCTTTTTATTATTTATCGAAGGAAGTTTAGAAGTCAAACTTCCGACAATATGGACAGATGAAAAGCAGAGTAGGGAAGAGGCAGAGAGAAGAGAAAGATTAGAAGAAAGAAGAGTAGAAGAGAAAGAGTCAGAAGAAAGAAGATGCCGATGCGTGAAAAGGTAGGAAAGTTGCAAAACACTGTGTTTTTCCAATGATTTGAGGCTCCGGAGGTCGAAAAGTAGGCTCGCTAAAGCGGCGGGTGCGGAGCCAGCTGGCCAGATGAGAGATGAAAAATTGCACGCCGTTGTGGCGCGAAGCACATTTCCAAGTCAAAATGCACAAAACACACTAGGTCCGGACCACTTTTGGCAGTTGAGATGTCGAAAAAGTGCACGCCGTTGTGGCGCGAAGCACATTTCCAAGTCAAAATGCACAAAACACACCAGCTCCGGACCACTTTTGGCAGTTGAGATGTCGAAAAAGTGCACGCCGTTGCGGCGTCAAAATGTACAAAACACTAGGGGTTCGGACCACTTTTCGAGGTTCAGATGTCGCTTCGCTTCAAGACACTACACTACAGGACATTAATTACACTACACTACACTCCAGTACACTACATTACATTACACTACACTCCAGTACACTCCACTACACTAAATTACACTACACCACACTACATTACATTGTCCGTTGCTGCTTGGAAAAAAAACACACTGCGGCGACACCGTGAGGGAGACATGTCAGAGGGATGTGCTAGATTTCGTCATGCGTTTGTAGTCTGTTGTGTTAACACTGTAGGAGCTGTTGAAGTTTCAATTTAGGAATATGAGGATCGTATCAGTACACGGTAGATGGATGGATTCGGATTCGGATGGATGGATGGATGGATGGATAGATAGATAGATAGATAGATAGATAGGTAGATAGATAGACAGGTAGACAGATAGACACCACTGCACTACATTACACTATCTTCCACTACACTTCACTACATTACACTACACTACACTCCACAACACTACAACTACAACTACACAACTACACAACTACACTCCACTACACTACACTACACTCCACTACACACCACTACACTACATTACACTACACTACATCCCACTACACTACACTACAACTACACAACTACACTCCACTGCACTAAATTACACTACACTACACTACATGACACTACACCACACTCCACTACACTGCATTACACTGCACTACACTACCTTCCACTACACTTCACTACATTACACTACACTACACTCAACTACACTACAACTACAACTACAACTACACTCCACTACACTCCACTACACTAATTTACACTACACTAAATTACACTACACTACACTACATTACACTGCACTACACTACATTCCACTACACTCCACTACACTACACTACAGTACACTACACTACATTAGAATGAATGACACTGCACCATAAATAGACAGGTAGACAGATAGACAGACAAACAAACAGATAGATAGATAGATAGATAGACAGATAGACAGGTAGACAGCTAGACAGATAGACAGATGAAAGAGAGAGAGAGAGAGAGATAGATCGATAGATAGATAGATACATAGATAGATAGATAGATTGGTAGGTAGGTAGGTAGATAGTCAGGGAAAGAGAGAGAAAGAGTGAGAGAGATCAAGCACCTTTCAATCCATCAGTGGCTTCGCTCTGCCATCCCTGATTCACAACAACCAACCTCTCCTATAGGTTTCCTATTTTTGAAACTTCCGCCACCGCCTTGTGCGGTACTACTGGTATATATATATATGTATATATAGTCCCGCCCCGGGGCGCATTTAAGACGCAGCTGGGGGGGACATATACTCTATCGCTGTTGGTTTATACGGTCAATGTCTACTGCGATTATACCTTCATCGTTTTCGCGCAGTGTCTAGGTTGGTTTGCACGTTAACAGGACTCAGTTAATGATGGATCTATTCAAAGATCCAATCTTGTCTAGTATCAGAGTTGTGTGTGGAAGTTTGTGAGTACAAGGAACAACACCGGAGAAAGTGAAGGGTTGGTAGTGTGCATTGAAACATGTTGGTGCTTGAAACCAATTGCCTGGTTGGGACACATTTTGTGACAAATGTTGCAACCAAGTGCCACGCCACGCCTGCCACATAAACAGGCTGTGACGTCACCAGCGACCAGCGACGACGAATGGTATCACTATGGCCCAGTACCGCAAGTGCCACGGCGACCAAGCGCAGCACCGGAGTGACTCCAGTGCCGTGACTCTCACGCTTGCCATACCAAATGAGACTAGATGCCACCAAGTGCCACGCCTGCCACACAAAAGACCGCGGCGCCACCGGCGACCAGCGGCGACCAAGCGCGTCACCAGAGCTAGCCCAGTGCTCTATTTGCAGCGCCTGCCACATAAAGTGAAGGTCAATGTCACCGAAGTATGTGTGAGAGAGTTTTGTGTGAAACTGTTGTGTATGAGAAAGTTGTGTGTGAAAGAGTTGTGTGAGACAGTTGGGGGTGAGAAAGTTGCATGTGAAAGAATTGTGTGTGACCAAGAGTTGTCCAAGAGTTGTGTGTGAGGCAGGCGGGCAGGCGGGCAGGCGGTCGCGGAGGCGGATGGACACGGAGGAGAGGGCACCAGAAAGAACAAGAACACGAAGATGTAAGGGAAATGCAGAAATATTGTCCTGAACAACGAATAGAAATGAAACTACCACTGTGCTTGGAAGAAAGAAGTCCACACCACACTGAAGCCGACCAGGCGCGGTGAAGCATTCAACTGCGAAGGGTTCAGTTGCACTGGCTGCACCTCACAGTCACGGGCCACGAACTGCACGAAGTTGGTCTCTGCGATCTGGGCAAAATCATGGCTCAGCAGATTGTCCACTGGCACCCACGAGTGCGTAACCCTCAGCGCGCCAGGATCGTCCCGCTGCTGAAGCTCCAGCTGCAATTGCCTAATGGCAGAATTTACTCGTTTCCTGAACCTGACTGCCGAAGGGCGGGCAGCATCACGCAGAGCCTGAGAGGCATCTAAGAGTCCTTTGAGCACATCCTCTGGCAAATCCGATATGAGAAGTGGGCTTTGTCGCAATCGTTGCGGTCTCATAAGTACCTTGCGGCAAGAGGATGTCTGCGAACTGCTGTCCCGCCATGGTTTAGAAATTGCTGGTGTGACACAATCTTTTCACCACTTTTGGTTATTCGACGACAGTGCACAGATTTAATTGCAAGCCAAGGCACGAGGGCGGCCCTGTAATGGTCTGAAGACCATTCCAGTAACCTGGGCTCGGGTCCACTTTCTATCAACCCTTCATGCCGTTCACAGAGGAGAAAAGGCATGCGATCGCTGGGGGGTCTGCGCCAAAGAACTCCTTCTCTCCAATCAGCTGCGAATGGCTGCTGCCCTTGGTGTGCGTTGAGTACGATCATTGCGCGCTACTGGCTTGGTGTTTGTATTTGCAATGATGGAAAGACTGCATGCCTTGTGGGTAGCAGTGTGAAGCTTTCATTGGATCAAAACAATTCCCATTCATTTTTTACTCTGCTGCGGTCTCTTTGGGAGCCGCTTGACAATGCAAAGGCATCGGAAAACGAGAATGAGCAAGGACGAGCAAAACGGTCACGATCAATGCTATGCATCCATCAGCTGGCTGTGCAGGGTGACATTGACTCTGGGATCTGCTAATCCGATCTTTGTGCATTACACTTGATGTCCTTATATCTTCTAAATGCACTTTCGATTCAATTTCACACCATTTACTTACATTACCAATATCCTTTGATTTACATAACCAATGCCCTTTTTTCTTGATAGCTATTCCCTCCCATGGGTCAAGTGCTGCTGAAACTGTCGACTCCCGGGGCTGGGCCTTGCAACTGTCGCACCTGAAGCAGCCGTTAGCAAAGCAACCTACGCCACTGGTTGTTTCGTGGCTGACCAACAACGAGTATGTCATGTTGTTCCAATGGTGGGATTTAATGATATATGGTGGGACATATTGAGAATTAACGGGGTATAGAATGGGATATTGTGGAGGATAATGGACTGTTGAACGATGTTTACCTTTTTTGAAGCTAGACGCGAAGTCTAGTAACGCCAAAAAATGCAGAGAAGGTCTAGTTTTCGACTATTTTAGCAAGGTTTTACTTGTTTCTATTTTTGGGGCTGACTACAGATGACAACTCATTTCAGTTTCACTTTAAGGCTGTGAACACGTTAGGATACAGGCATAAGTTTTCGCAGTTCAGGATCCATGGTGTGGACCTGAGGCATCTTGGGATCGTCTTAAGAATGAATTGTGCGAAGAATTCACGTTTCCGACCTTCCTTATTTCTACTTTAGAAACTTCTTTTTCTCTAGTAGAAATGAGTTTTACATTGTTTAATTCAAAACTATATCTAGTGTTTGCTATAGCAAGTACATCGAAGATGGAATCAATAATAGTTTGAGATGATCTATAACAATTAATAAAGTCAATCATCAAGCATTTATTTTTTGATTTTGACGTTATATTTTTGAGTAAATCTTACATATCATGGCCTCAAAACATGTCAAAACCCTGATACCCCTTTGTTCATACCAAAATAGCTGACAATTGTACGTTTGTCCGTCCAATTTTGGAATTTCAACTCGGTCGGTTCCACCTCATCCTTCTGATGCAAGCGCTGGGCTTGTCGACTTTGAGTCGTTGCACAGCTGCCTCCTTCGCAGAGCTGCATCGGGGTGGACGACCTGGTCTACGGTATAATCAGTATATAACTCTGGGGTCATAGATATCAGTACATTAAAACATTGCAAATACTGTAACTGCTGTATGTTCCCCCTGTCTACTGCGCAGGCTTAAACATGAAAAGACCTTCTGTGTTCGGGCTGGTAACTTCACCAAGATGCAGAAAAGAATGCTCCGATGGCCATATCTAGAAATATGAGATTTCACGGGATGTTAAAGGTATTTAATTGGTACCAAATGGAATTTAACAGGCTTTATAGATCTCTTTGCAGGGTATCTGAATCACTTCCATCCTGGAGAGTGGCACTGGGCCATCGGCTTGATGCGGGGTTCGAAACACCCAAAAGAAGTACCCTTGAAATGAGCCATGTTGAGCCAATGAGAAAAGAAATGAAAAAATGTGAGCCTGTGAAACGAACAGGTTTTTGACCTCTTGCAGCAGCTTGCAACACTTTCTTGCCAAAGGATGCCAAAGGATGCATCCGGAAAATATCAGTGAAATTAAAGCGAAGAACCTGCTGTGTGTTGAGACCAGCATCCCAAAGGTTCTTGTTATTCGGCGCTGCAGTTTCGACTGCCAGCCCAAATCCAGAGGAGTCCAAACTGTGCAGAGATGGCAGCGTGAAATTTGGAATAGTTTGGAACTAGGTTTTCGACATCCCCTGAACTGAGCATGAACACCTTCACAGATTGATTAGTTGTGTGCTTTGCAATCTGCCCACGCAATGTGTCCTTCAGATTCAGGCATCAACATTGATTTTGTCGCATGACTATCATAAAGTAGTGACTAAGATTCTTCTGGAGTGCTTTTTTCGCTCCTAGTGAACACAAACAAAACAATGGACGCACAATCAAAAATATATATAAAGGCCCCAATTACTTTCTTCCAGTGATAACCACCCTGACACACAATTGTTACGTTGTTTCTGGCATACCGCCTGGAAGTAGATATAGCACAAGTATATTCTGACGTTCAACCCAACATTCTGTCTGGCATTCTATCTGGCACACACTCAAACATTTTTTCTGGCATTCTATCCGGCATCTCTCCTGACCTTCTGTCAGCATCTCTGCAAACAATCCGACATGTACAGGCCAGGCCACGCCCAGTTGCAGCCGCCACTTCAAGTCCGGCAATGCCAGCAGACACTGCCTGCTCGCGTAGTGACAGGCGAAGGAGAATGAGGAGGCGGCAGAAGGGGAAGGAGGCGGGACAGGAACATCATCTTCATTGCAAAGTGGCTGCGTCTCCGTATATATTTTATTTCCACTGTCTTTGTAGACAGAGATGTCAATTTGGGAAAACTGCAAGCTGGCATGTCAATAGGCTGAAGGCCTGATTAACAAAGAATCAACGTAAAAACTGCAGAAATTGTTTTCGCAATCTGCTGCTGATGTCCGGTCCTGCATCCAGTAGGCAATTGGAAACGCCTTTTTCAGCTGGTCACGCTCCTCGACACAAAAACGTTTTAGATTTGGATGCAAGGAATCGAATTGGCCACATTAAGGCACGGTCTACAACAAAGATGCCATCACATCGATCTGCGCTCTCCGCGGTCTGCTCGGCTCCTCAATCTCTCAAGGCCAGGCTCAGATTCGGTTCCCCAATGCGAAGAGGACGTGCTGTCGGAGCTATCTGAATCTTCATCATCAGCAAGATCGCGGGACACTGGGCACGAAGATGGGTTGCTTTGACTTGACAAACATGCTGGCTGTTGGGCACGCATTTGCATCCAGTGGTAGTAGAGGAAGCAATGAACCATCAGGGGCAACGTTGTCACCACACATACAAACAGAATCCAAGCGGCATGGCCACCTACATGCGAAGGCGCTTCCCAACGACCGGACATCAAGCTGGTCGTAGATGGGTCGCAAGCTTGTGCCGAGCAAATCAATGAGATCGATCGCCTGCGGATGACAAGCGGGACGCAAGCTGTGCTCCGATGGCTGCAGCCTCTCTGGCACACAAGCAGGAATAAGGACTGGTGCTGGGTTTCTGCGTATACTTGGCATCATTTAGAGCCAAAAGCAATGCGGTAAGACAATCAGACTTGGCCTGCACTCGCAGGCTTGCCATGGTTCACAAGACCAACTTTTGGAAACCAACTTCTCTAGCTACCTGATATCTGGGAATTATACTCATGGCTGACACAAGACAAGAACACTTTTCTCCTTTGGAGCAGCAGTTACGGCTTCAGTCCCGGAAAGGATCGAAGACCGTCTGCAAATGACTAGCATTCCAAGCTGTCTCGCTTTCATGTAGCGCACGGGCCAACATCATGGCTGTGTCTAGTTTGGACTGCATTTCGGCGTCCTCTTCAGACACACCAGCCAAAGACGTTCCAGCAAAATGCTGGAAGTTGAACTTGATGAACGCCAAGGATGCCAAAACTTGATACCACTTCAAACTGATGTATTGGGCAGATTCCGGCATGTACGTCAACAGAGTCGACCAGAACCTCTCTACGGGAATGGTACCCGATTGAACCGGAATCTGTGCTTCTAATGTCCCCAAAGCTGCCTGCTGCCATTTGAAAAAGCCTTCAACGCGAAGCTTCTTCACCAGCTTCTTGAAGTGCGCACGCACCTTCTTAGTAACTACGATACTTGGGCGGGCCCAATACCTCTTCTGACCATCTCTGAAGATTCGCTTGCGAAAGACTGCTGCCTGGCGCACAGGCTGAGACCACCATCGCAAAATTCGCCGAGCTTCCGTCTTGAATTCCTTTTTGCATCGGTAACTCCAGCGCTGCATGGTACCATGCAGTTGCGTTGCTTGAAGCTCGGCTGTGGTCCCTTTGGAAGCCACCTTGCCTGCACGCAAGCTGCGGAGACAGGCCGATACCACTGCACGCGGGGGTGCTCTTGCGAACACAGCCCGCCAAGTGCTTGCTTCAGAAGCATAAGGTTGCTGGAGAAATTCCTGGATCTTTGGCAAAGAGCTTGAAGAACACTTGGGAAGAGCACAAGGTCCTTGCAGGACAATCTTCTCCAAATCGAGCTTTGCGTCCTACTGCGCACAGCATCTGCAAAATTAGAGTAGCAAACACGGGAAAAATTGTTATCCGTGGTCTGTGTAATGAAAAATCTGAAAGCTTTCAGCACCGTCCTCAGGCAACTCCTGCACCTTCCCGTCCCACTGGGCAAATGATGGGCTTGGAGGAGGCGGTAGACTTAACCGCTCCATCAGGTCCCTGTGGGCGGCGAGGAAAGGTCCCGCATCAGCAGATTTGATAGAGACGATGCGTCGCAAGGCAAAGCAATCATGAGCTGGATCGCCAGTGATCCTGATGAACAGGAAACATGGTAGAAAAAAGAAACAGCACCCGTAGCACGACAAAAAAAGATGGACAGCAATGTCGGCCAAGGCACAGCGTCGGACATTCTTCCGCACCAACCTCAATGGATTGCGCGGGCCCTTTAGGCGTACTGGAGACAGGTCGCAGGCCAACAGGTAGCGAGCGGGTGTAAAGACTTCCCAATTTCAAGCGATGCTTACTATAGGAATCGGTTGCATGAAATGCTGGGCAGCAAGCCTTCCCTGGCAGGCCCGCTTCCTTCCGATGGCTGATGATGTCTGCCACCAACTCTTCCAAGTGCGGCCTGATGTCTGGCCATGTCTCTCCTGCCATTGCTGCCGGAGGGCGTAGCAAAGCACCGTCAATGCCAATCCAAGCATAGATCACATTGATTTTTTCCTGGGGCAAGATACGAGACGCAACCTTGAAATGTCCGTCACCTCGAATGGCTGATCCACTGTAAACGTGCACATGTTTTTCCACATGGCTGACTAAAGGAGGCAAATAGGACAGAAGAGCATCCCGCAAAATAGTTCGCAGGGCGAATTTTCGCGGCAAGGATTCCACTGCATAGAACGCCTTGTCAGCGTGATTGATGTAGACGGAATTGGCCAAATACAGATCGAGCACAAATCGCTTGACAGCGTTGGCATTGAATGTTTCCGCGAATTTCCCCAGGATCAACATCAAGAAGCGAGGGGAGAACATGACCTTGCGGCTCTTTTTTTGGCGTGAAACCAGCATGTCTGGGAAGTGTCGCTTGATGTCTGACATTTGAACAGGGAAGTACTTGAGGCAAGTACGACATCGAAACGATCGCACGTCCAGGATCTGAGGAAGTGGTAAATCTAAAATGTATTTGCAAGCCATGTCTGTCCCTTGGCCCACGACCTCATGCTTGGTTTCATTGGAATGAGCCTTTGCTGCGGCCGGGCAGATGCGGAAGGTCACATTCTCAGAAGTAGCTTGGTCTCCGGTCCCTGCGGCAGCTGCGCCACATCTCCCTGAGCTGTTCTTGGTAGGCGCATGTTCCGTGCACGCAGATGGTGACTGCTGCGTTCCTTCCGTCTCCTGCGGCCGAAACGAACGACTGGTGTAGATTCTCTTTTATAGCAAACAAAAGAAAACAGGGCAACAAAAAGATTGCAATTGTTCCCTTAAAACTAAAATTTACAAAGGACCGCATGCAAGACCAACTCCTTAGCCGTCCCCGCGGCAGCATCTCGGACATCAAAATGCAGCCGCCCTCGCCGCGCAGTCTTCTTCCTTGGAATCAAAACCTTGCACCCAACCATGCGCAGCTCTTTCTGCGGGCAAGTCATAACCTCCCGTCTAAAGGCTGTATGGTGGCCACTGGTGGTCTCATGGAGCGGTAAGACATCACTCATGGGCTTGCCTCTGGCATTGTGCGTGCTGAGAATGTACACTAATTGCTGGTCCCGATATGCTGCCAAACCGCTTGCCGGCTGGATAGGCGCATCCACATTCGTTGGCTGGTGAAACAAATGCATTCGAGACAGATGCAAAAGCCGGCGGTGAGTGCGTCCGGCAGCTAAACGGAAAGCAAGGCTCTGGTCTCCACCGCGGGTGCCATCCGGGGTCACCTCTGCAGCAGGGGTATTGGCTGGCAACCTGCATTTTCTTCCTTTGTTTTTTCCTTTCTTTTTCTTTCCTGACGCTGAGGGCACCTTTCTCAACGTCAGCTTTGGCTGCAGCTCGCCAGTCCGTTTGTCGGCTCTAGGCTTTCGGGGAAATTTCTTCGGCCACCCGCGATTGGAGGGAGGTGCTCGCTGCTTCGCGACAGGAACTTGCCCAGCCATGATCTCAGGGGACAGCCACTTGCGACCGTGGCGAGCAGCAGACGGTACAGCCGCGACGGTTGACTCTGTTGCAACATCAGAAAAAAACCATCCAAAAGCAGAGTGCAGGGCAGGCTCACCACACTCCTCTCTGATAATTGGGTTGGCTTTTTCGGTGCTGTTGAATTGTCTCACCTCCGTGAGGGTGGCTGTCGCTGCTACTCTACCAGTGCCACTTTCTACCAAATAAACAGGTCCTCTCCGCGGAGTTTTTGAAGCTTTGACTACACATGCAACCTCCCCAGTCATCAGGCGTGGCAACCACTCCCTGTGCACAATTAAGCCGTGCAGCATCGACATGGCTCAGGTTCCGGGGATGCGATACATTCAAAAATGTTGATGCAAATTTCCGGAAGAAGGCGAATCCATGGTAAAGCAACATTTTCGTGCTGGAACATATAGTCATTCGTTGGTTTGCTTGGTTGCGGTCCCAGTGGGAGCCGCCCTGCCTAAGTACAGGCACCGATGAGCCAAAGCATGCACCAGACGCAACCATGAATGTGAAGAGGGACTGGTACAAACACAGAAAGCATGCAAATTCACCAGCATCTTGGTAAAACGCATTGACGGCAGCAGCTGTGCATATAGCTTGGTGGTTGTCTTCCCACCAAAAAAGGGAGCCAACAGCCGACTTTAAATGAATCCACCCGGCCTCGATCTGAGATCATCCTGTCAAAGGTGCCCGCTGCATGATGTGTCGCAACCTCGGATGACAATGCTAACGCGCGCATCTCGAAAAAAAGGTTCAACGAACAATAAGCCATGATTTTCCATTTTTTCAAAATCAAGATGATCAAGCAAAGCTATTTAAGAAAAGCAGAAGCTGACACTGGCTGAGGACCCAGCTACCTAGACACTGTGCCTGTCGGCTGGGAATGGCCAAACTGCATGATAGGAAAGCGGTGGCAAACCCACAGCGTCTTGGAAGGGTAACAGCGCACAGGTTTTTTGCCTTGCTAAGATTTGGCGACCTTTTATTCCCTTCAAATAGTAGTGTAGAGCTGTTCCGCAGCGCAATGGTGCGCAATCTCGAAAAAGGAAACACATTTAGTTGAAATCATGAGAAATCATCCTAAACTCTGGTTTCCAAAGGTTGAAGCACGCATGACAGTTTCGGTCTATCAACTGGAAACGTTACCCTTCATCTCCTCAGATGCTGGCCCAAAGTTTGGGTACAATAGTCATCAATGGTTCCCTTCAGCTTGCACCACAGAGCCTGCATTTGAGGACCAGTCAAAGGTCCGGGAGAAACGCAAGTCCCCTTGTAACAGATGGTGGCAGCACGGCACAACTTGTTGACGCAGCTTCGTACGTCTTCAAAGTCCTTGTTCTCAAAGTCTTTTCCAAAAAGAAAAATGCCCAATGCCAAGGGCCCAGGTCCAAGCACTGCAACAGGGTCTGCCATGTAGTCTTCTATGGCTTCATGCAAGTTTGGCTCCATGTCAGCAGCAGCAATGCCGCTAAGGTGCACGGCGTTCAACACTGTTTCGGCAATATTTTTAGCAATGAAAGGACCATGCCCATGCAAGCCCTGCAGAACTTGCACCATCCCGTAATAGTCCTTCGTCATTCGGAGCTGCTCGACAATAGTTGGGTGTGAGAACTGGGACCACAGGTTCGCAAGGCACACGCTTGCTTTCGTGGAATTGAGTCCTCCAAGCTTACTCATTTCCTGTGTGAGCTGTTGGGTCCAAGCGATGGAATCTTGAGCAGCTATGAAAATGCCCAGCTGGTCAGGTTTTGCCAAGGAATGGAAGCCCAGGTAGTTTGAATGGAAAGGTAAAAGGAGCGTAACTGCACTTTGCTGCCGAAGCTTCCCAAAAGCTATTAAGGTAATCCAGTCAGAAACAGTGAGGTACCCGCTTTCATCACGCTGACTTGTCACTTCCCGTAACCATGCCGCAGTGGCCGCTGTGAAAGGATCTAGGAGAGTGGGTTTCAGCGGATGGATTCGGGTACAAAACATGATCTCCGGCAAAGAACAATGGGTGCCTACGTAAGCGCGGCAAGATGGCCTCAAACTTTGTAGCTGGCAGGACGAAGGGGCCTTTAGTTTCTTCATGCCATTGCGAGCAGTGGCGAAAGTGCAAACAGCTTTGTGATACATGCGCTTTCTGTCTACTTTCCCAAATGCCAGTGCCACCTCTGCCCAGTCTACGGCAACTTCCTTGTGGCTATCCATCAAGGAGCGCGTCAGGTAAAACACGATTGTTGCCACTGTTAGGAATGTGACAGGACTGCGTGCATCCCAAGCCTTTGTCTTGAATTCGGGTCTGTCAAGGCCCAGCAGCTTGCGAACTTTTGTCGGTGTTCTGTTGTGGCCTGGTGTTACTTGCATATTTTTTCTCTTGCGGCCTGCGCCAGGCCGTCTGCCGCCATGGCGGCGCTGTTGACCAGCGGCAGATTTTCCCATGCCCCAAGTGGAAGACCGGAGCAAGTCTCTAGGTACCGTCTTGCAAATGGTTCTAGGATGTCCTTGCAAGCATCATTCTGCGCTGAAATATTAAACAACTGGGAACAAACTTGCTTCGGCTTATCATGTAGCTTGCATGTTGCGTGGCTACGGTCCCTTCGGGAGCCGCTTTGCTTGTAAGCACCAGTCTTGCGGTCTAGATAATGCATATGGGCTAGAAAACTATCCGTCAACACAACTCCAGATTTCAAGTACGATTCCTTGCAACATGGTTTGTCGCTGGCGTGCCTCGATGGAAAGCTGACACCTGGCGACACTGGCATGAAAAGCATGAAAGCCTCTAGGACCCCACAAGCCAATGCAACTCTAGGAAAGATACCCAGAAAGGAAGGCCTCTGCTTAGAATCCAATTCGCATCAAGAAAGCAAGAGACTTGTCAGAATCACTTTTTTCGGCGCAGCAAGTCTGTTCGACTTGTGTTTTCGTCGGCTTAGCGACCTTCCCCAGAAAGTCATAAGCCAACTCCGCTAACTTCTTGGAGACAAATTTACGCATGTCCAAAAGACGAATGACATGCGACCGCGAGTGGGCGACCTATGGTACTGTGGCTACAACAGCCGGAACACTCACCCAAGGCTCGCAAAATTCTAATTGAGCATCATTGCCACGATGTTCTCTCAGGTCAGGAATGTTCTCTCAGGTCAGGATCACGGGAAATTTTCTTGACCCAGCCGCAACTTCTTGACCCACTCACAAGCAGTGGCGTCTTGAGCAATCTCAGACCAAGATCTCTTCTTGAATTTCAAGACCTCATGTCCACCACCTGAACAGTCGGCACCGGGCCTGCCCGCCCACTCGATCAGCTTCACATGCTGGAGCTTGTTGACGGCAGTCAGAAGCATCTGCACTGGCTGGCCTCGCTGGTTCTTCTCCTCGACTGCCCTTGGCTTCTGAGAGTCCTTTCGTTTCCATCCACTGATTCTCGCCAGCTTGTGCTTGAGTTTGCCTCGCAGTTCTTTTGATGTTTGCACTGTTGCCGTATCCCCTGCATCAGTCATGACCCACCGCATGATGGTCTCCTCCACATCTAGCTTGGCTGAAGGACAGGCATCTGGAAAGGTCTGCTCCCCGGCTCCCCCACCAGCTCCCCCTTTGATCTCAGGACTTTGGAGCAGCTGGAAATATTGGAGCTGCCTGAGCCAAGCATGCAAAGCGTACTGGACGTCAATGACATCGATGAGGTTCTCGTAGGGGTTGGGCTGGATGCGGGTCAAGCTTGCAAGGAAAGCGCGGCACTTGTTCACCGCATTGGCCCAACGCAGCACGTCGGTATCTGCATAACACAGCTTTTGGAGCCAAGCAGCAGGCAGGTCGGGATGCATGTCCTGGAACTCTTCAATGGCCTGTAGGACTTTGCGCAGCCACTTCTGCGCGAAAGCATTGAGCACAATGCGGCAGGGTCCAGGACCATGGGGAGCATCCCCGGCTACCTCTCCAGCATCCTTCTCCTCATCAGCTTTCTGCTAAGCCGGAGGCAGGCGAGAAGCCAGCCATTGCATCAGGGACCGCAGCAGATCCTTGCTGCGGTCTTTCATCTGCAGAGGAAATTGCTGACATACGTGAGTCTCGAAGACAACATTGAAGCGCTTTTGGAAGCCGAGGTCAGCAGAAGCAGAACCTGTGAGCACTTCAAGGGTCGGACCTATCTGCCCGTACACCAAATGGTAGAAGGCATACATATCGTGCTGATCCCGCACTTGGCCGGTGATCGACCGATCTGGCTCAGAGTGGCACCACTTGTTGACGTGGCTCTTTTGAGCGAATTGGCTCGGTGGAATCCCGTCGCCACTTTTCGACGTTCGGTACGTCTCCGTGACTTCACTGGTGGCCAAGCCTGTCCTGCTGAAGTTGTACAGGTTGTTTCGATGACCACGCAAGGTGCCGCTGTTGGAGAAAGCTTCCTTGGCCTGGGCATACTTGGGAATGCCAGGAGCTCCCAACAAATCATCTGTGAGAAACTGATGCAGGGAGGTCTTGCGGCAGCTGGGAGGAGCGGCAAAGAACGAAGGGATGGCTGTGGTCCTGCCATGGTTTTCGTCCCGTTGGATTGAAATCCGTGTGCCTTCATGGTGCAGCCAGCCTACACCTGCCATGAGCCCTTGACACAAAGCTTCTAATGGCCAGCCTTCTGCTTTCCCGATGACCCGAATTGCTTGGAACATGGGCTTGGGCAACTGCAAGTGCAGCTCGAACCGGGGATCATTGGCAACATCAGCAACACTTTCAGGATTCCCCTGGCACACTTCTTCCAAGGCTTTGATGATGGTAGTCTGAAGCTCATGGATGTTCCGGCAATTGGCGAAGAGATCCTTGGGCTCCAATACTTCTGACAGGGCCTCCGTTGTGGCCACTGCACGCAAGGTCTCTCTGATACTCTCCAATGGGTCCGGTAAAGGCTCGTCATCTGCTGAAGGCAAACGGCACTCGTAGTTGAGGCGCTCGCATTTGGCCACCGGGCTATCTCCATTGGGTTGGGTAGCAGGGAAAAAATCCTCTTCACTGTCCCTACCCCCCAGACCATTCACTTCTTGCTGCGCGCTGGCATCCATTGGGCTCCCACAGCGCTCATCTTCGCATGCGCCTTCTTGGCATTCATCTCGCACACTGGTTGGGCTGTCACAGCCGGCCCCAAAGAAGTCCTCCTGCGCTGCCTGTTCTTCGCGCGCAATTCTCTCAGGCGTGCTGGCATCTTCGCCCATCTCAGTCGACATCTGGCGTGTACGAGGCTACGGTCCCGTAGGGAGCCGCTCTGGGGGGTGAAACGTTTGAAAGTGAAAAATGGATCTGATAGAGCCGAAGCATGCAAGCAGTTTACCATGAAATGCTGCTACGCTCCAGACCAAGATTGACCTAATGACCGGCGGCTAGCTCAGCACTACTGAAGTTGAATTCAGTTTTGCAAATGCCATTGGCCTGGCTGACTTGTCCGCTGCCCAAGCAAGTGCGCGGCCTCATCCGCACAAAAACAAACCCGCAGAAGCTTCAGATCAGTCATTTGCATAGCTCTATGTTTGAGAAGAGACTCTCAGAACGATGTGCTTGACAAGCGTCATCCATCTGATGCGTGGGTTGAAGAGTAAATTCGAATCTAGCATCACCACTGTGTGTGCGTGTGTGACAATGGTAAACAATTGATCCAACAATCTGACAGCTGGTTACGGTCGTGAAAGCCAGCATGCGGCATGACATGGCAAAACAACAGCTAAGCAACCCTATGCACACCTGTGACGTGAAACCATGTAAAGCCAGCATACACGAGGCTACGGTCCCGTAGGGAGCCGTTCTGGAAATGAAACGTATGGACCCGAAAACCTTCTCCTCGATGGCGAGCAATTTCGCTTGTCCGTAGTCGCACGGGCTCTTCCCAGTCACTGTCCAGGCCTTAGCCACGCGAAGAAAAAGAAGGGCAAACATATGGAACTAGACGACGGATGGCCCGAGAGCGTAGAGGAGCACAGTGAGAGGTGTAAGAATGAAAGGTGTAACTGTGCAGATTGTATAGCGTGAAGCATAAATCAAGAAATATATTATGATGCCTCAAAGAAATGAGATGTGTAAATAAGAAGATCTGTGGTAAACATGTTTGGAAAAGGTGCTACATATGAAGAAAAGAGATGCAATGAGCAACGACAAACAAGTTTGCACACAAACACTTCTACACGCAAAGAATTTTACACAGAAGACCTTTTACACACAAACACCTTTACACAGAGACACTTAGACACAGACCCTTTTACACACAGAAGCTTTGACACACAGACACTTTTACACACAGACGCTTTTACGCACAGACGCTTCTATACACAGACCCTTTTACCCACAAACACTTTTACACACAGACCCTCTTACACACAAACACCTTTGCACAGAGATGCTGTTTCACACCAACACTTTTACACACGGACCCTTTCACACACAGAGGCTTTCACACGCAGACGCTTTTACACACAGACACACACACAAGCCTGCAACTACAACGTTACAACGACGCTCGGCACAAAAACATCTTAAGCAGTCTTACATGATTCAAAATAGGGGAGCTGGAAAATTCTACAACTCCAACTACAGCTACGACAACAGCTACAATACATTGCACTACATTACACTAATTATATACACTACACTACGCTATGCTACACTACACTAATTACACTACACTACACTACACTACGCTACGCTACGCTACACTGCGCTACACTACGCTACACTAACTACAACCACAGCTGCAACTACAACTGCACTACTTTGCGCTACGCTACACCAGACTGCACTACACTAGACGACACTACAGCACGCTACACTAGACTACGTTACAGCTCACGACACTACACGACACTACGCTACATTCATTGCACCACACAACTACTACAACTGCAACTTCACTACACTGATTACACTACACACAACTACAACTCCACTACACCACAACTAGAACTACAGCTGCACGACACCACACTACATCCAGCAGTTGTGGCTGCAACCACTCCAAAAAAAAACAGAACTCGAACCACCTTTCGGTCAATCAGTGGATTCGCTCTGCCACCCATGCATCACATCAACTCACCTCTCCTATAGTGTCCTATCCTTGAAACTTCCGCCACCGCCTTGTGCGGTACTAATTACTGGCATTCATTAATAATGCCACCCCCCTTATATGAAGCACCAAATTCCCATCCCCTCTATTTCTAGGGGGTGTTTCAGGGGGGAGAAGTAAAATCGCCATTTCCCGTACATCCTAACATCCGCCGGCCCTGAGGCCCTGGCTTCCAGACTTTCACGCGACTGGTCTCTTGAGCGTTCCACTCCGCACGCCACACCTGGCAACCAGCATCTTCAGGTGCAGCTGCCATGGTCAGGGATCCAGAGCCTCCATCTTCTCATCTAATTGAAACTCCTCAGCCGAAAATGCCGATTGCGCGAGCGCCCCAAAGCACCCTAACATGAAAATGCTTGGTATATGGCCTGGATGGTAAATGGATGTTCATCTCAAAAAAAAATGTTATTGCTGCTATTGTATTGCCTGGAACTGGCCTAGGTTTTGCCCCATCTGTCACACACCAATCCCATCCTAAGCTGGCGCCCTGGTCTGAGCCCTCCGGGCGGTGCGCCAATCAAAGGCCTCTTGAAGCATCTTCAAGGACTGCCTCGGGTGCAGAGCTGCATCTGCATCCGCGGCTGGTTGAGCCATCTCCAAGTTATGAAAGTCTAACCCGGCTTCAGGATGCCATTTTTTTTGGGACAGGAAAATAAGAATCATTGAGACCACATTCTTCAGAGCAAGCACCAGAGGTTCCAGACTAGTTCCCTCTGGGGTTCCAGGCTCCTGGTTCCAATTCCGCGCTCTCAAGTATCGCAACAAAGTGCCCAGAGTTGCATGGCATGGAGCTGTTGAATTGTCAGGCGATAGTCTGGTCAACGTGACTGAGTAACCGGCTCGTTCTCATCAGATTTAGGTGCCCAAACCCAAGGCTGTTTCAGTGCCCCCCTGGGCACGGGCGTGACAGAAGGGGCTCCATTTTTCTCCAGGTATCCAACTTAACACCCAAAAGAACTCCACAAAAAAGGAAAATCATGGAGTTTCCGGGTCCTTGGTTTTCTAGACACATGGAAGCAGCTCAAGAAATTCTGATCCCACAAGACTTGGATGGTTTTACTATGGTCCTTTCTCTACCCCATGATGCATTACAATTTCCTCCGAAAAAGACTTCCTGCCTCGCAGCGTTCTCACCAGTGCAGTGCCGGCGACGGCAACAAAACATGGGAGGTTTCTTCTGGGCCTTGCTGTGATGGCTGGTAGGTGGGATATGGGCTACTTGGGGCAGTATTACATCTTCAAGTTTCTGACCCATCCCCCAGTCCTTTCCAACAGCAGCAACTCCAATGCCCCGAAAAAATGAGGCATTTCTGGTATATCAAGAGCTACATTATAACTACACATAAGAAAGGAAGGGACGCGCAACCCTGGATACCCTGAGTCCAAAATCACAAACTCCCCAAGCATGTTTGCCCACCTCGCCGTTTCGCGGGCTTTCATGCACCTGAACCAAAGCTTGCGGCAGGAGGGCCAAAATCTGGATCGTGGATGCCAGAACCCCAATAAGCTGATACTAACCCTATACATACTCAGCTGTATGTCTCCTCTGAGGACCCCAGTCAAGAACCTTGCGTGAGTCCCTTGATGTGGTTATACTGAATATAGCTTGATATAATCACCAAGGACGGTGACCATGCACGGGCTAAATGGGAGCCAGTTCCACCAGGCTCCACCCTTTGCGCCTCCTGGCAGCTCTCAGGGTTCCGCAGGGACTCGGGGCAAGCCAACACTTGCTGAAAAACCCCTGGTTTAGAATTAGATCATTGGATCTATTCTTTGTGGTCAAACAAAACCGTTTCCGTTCCCATGAAATCACCACTAGAAGTCCGCTTCCGCAGAGACTTACCATGTCCACAGGTAGTAGAAAAACTGTCATCGCCATGGAAGCTGCAAAAATGACCACTCGCTGGTGCAGTTTTTCTGGCCTGAAGCAAGTCTCGCTTTCTCTCCAATCTCATCCTAGGATGTGGTGGCAGTTCAGCTACAGCTCAGCATCGTCCGAATTCCAAGGTTTTAGATTTTGAAATGTTCCTAGCCATGTTGTGTTTTCATGGTCACACGCACAAAACTGCAGCGATCTCAGGATGTCACCCTTTGATCTTGTCATCTTCGCATCCGAGAATGGGCCAAAAGTAGTTGAAGCAGCTTGGGTTTTCATGATGCAGCAGTGCAAGTTGCGGGATGGCCCGAAACAAAAACTCCTCGAAACCAAAAACCTCTTGGAAATGGTCCAAGTCTTTTTGAATAGAAGCGCTTCATTTTATGAAGCTCTTTCAAATCGTCTTGGGGAAATACCTTTCGTCATGCTCCAACTGAATCACATGCCTCACAATCATTGTTGACAAACTGCTGAACCATGTCTGTGTAATGTTGTTTTTTTCCAACTAGCTCTTGAGACTGAGCGAAGGTCAGCTTGGCTATGAACAGAGAAGAGCCCCAAAGTTTCTGCATTTTGACCCCAGCGCAGTCAAATCTTTCAGGCTACTCAGGATGGGTTTTCAATTTCTAGCAAACCCAGGCATATAACCATAGGTTGGGTTCCATATCTCCTTGTCACACCGGGGTTCCTCTTTAGGGGTTCCTCTCAGCCAAGCTGATTTTGGCTATTTCCGCTTTCAATTGTTTCTTTCCGTTCATTGTGTTCTTCCTTTCGTTTCAACGTAATGTTTCCCTTCCGTTCATTGCCTCCTCCCGTTCGTTTCGCCTCTTCCTTTCCATGCGTTACTTATGTCCTTTCGTTCCATGTCTTATATTCCGTTCGTTACTGCTTCCCATTTGTTGCAACTCTTCGCGTCGTTTCAACTCTTCGCTTCCGTTCATTGCGTCTTCCTTGCGTGTCACCGTTTCCCTACCATGCGTTACTCCGTCCGCTCGTTTCAAGCCTTAAATCCCGTTCGTTTCTTCTTCCCTTTCGTTTCAACTCTTCCCTGCCATTTGCTCCGTCCTTACTTCTGTTTTAATCCTTCCTGTGTCGTCTCAACTCTTCCTTTCCGTTCGCTGCGTCCTTTCTTTCATTTCAGCTTTCAATTTGTTCTTTCCGTTCATGGTGTCCTTCCGTTCGTTTCAACGCAATGTTTCCCTTCCGTTCATTCCCTCCTTCCGTTCGTTTCGCCTCTT